CCCCCCAGCCTGTACTGCTGCATGGGGTTATTCCTGCCTAGGTGCAGGACCCTGCACTTGCCTTTGTGGAGCTTCAGGAGGCTCCTCTCCGCCCAACTCTCCAGCCTGACCAGGTCCCTCTGAATGGCAGCACAGTCTCCTGGGGTGCCAGCCACTCCCCCCAGTTTTGCATCATCAGCAAGCTTGCTGAGGGTGTGCTCTGCCCCTTCATCCAGGTCATCGAAGACTACACTGAACAAGACTGGAGCCAGGACTGACCCCTGGGGGACACCGCGAGCTACAGGCCTCCAACTAGACTCTGCGCCACTCACCACAACCCTCGGAGCTCGGCCATCCAGCCCGTTCTCAAGCCACCCCGCCGTCCACTCATCCAACCCACACTTCCTGAGCTTACCTAGGAGGATGTGATGGGAGACGGTGTCAAAAGCCTTGCTGAAGTCCAGGGAGACAACATCCACTGCTCTGCCCTCAGCTACCCAGCCAGTCATTCCAGCAGAGAAGGCCGTCAGATTGGTCAAGCACGATTTCCCCTTGGGTGAATCCATGCTGACTACTCCTGATCCCCTTCTTGTCCTCCACATGCTTAGTGATAACCTCATCACATTAGTCAACATAACAAAAGACTAGAAAACCAATTTGTTACAATTTAGTTTGAATGCCACCTTTCCCAACATACACTTTGCACTAAAGAGAAACGGTAACTGCAAAATGGGAAGATGGCTATTGCTTTATGTATTTCACTGCCTGCAGAATTCAGTCACTGATCTGTGACCAATTTTGAAAGACTTAGTCATGCTTATGAATCTCAGTTAATATGAACTGATTTTAAATTAGCTTCTGTGGACTTTGGCAAAACACTTTCTAGCAAAGCATAATTGCCCCATTGTGAACATTAGATTCAATGCCACTAGAGCAGGCCCCTATTGGATGTAGGGCTTACTGTAAAAGGAGGTTCAGCCCCTTTTAATGGGGTCTAACACCACTAGATGGAGCAGTAGAGCAGTTTTGCCCTGGAAATTCTTGGCTAAGTTCCAGCACGATTTTTTGGTTGGTGGTAGTGGTATTTAAACAAATCAGCAGTTTAAACTCACAGCCAGCTTAAGTGCTTTTATTTTCTCACAGCTGTTTAGCCATTGCTTAATATTTAGCTAAACCATTCCCCCCCACCCCTTGTAAGCAGCTGGGCTCTCACACTGTTTACTTCAAGCTGCCAATATCTACAAGGAAAGACAGAATATCCAGGTGAAGTTGGAAATTGGTTGGAAATAAAATGGTTCCAAGAGCAATATTTTGATACCCCTCCTAGTCTGGAGTATTCAGATTTTACTAAAACCTATCCATTTCCCTCAACTTCCTACATTTTTCTGCATTAAAATAGGGTTTGGGGTTCATTGGTAGCAATATACTTTCTACATCATAAGTAGCTATAAATTGAGACAGCTTTCTTGTCAACAGCATTGTATGACATGATAATTGGATAGCATTTCTTTTATACTTTTACAATACATTGTTTATCTATAAAATAAGAGTCCTAGGATCAGTACCCCATTGCACTAGCTTTTAAAGATGAATAACCTCTCTCTTTACAGCCAAAAATAATGATGCTATTCTTGTGGGATGACTACTACGTTAACCATAATGGAAGCAATACTCACCGTTCACTAAAGCTTGTGCAATAACTCTTCCCCCAGTTGTGGCTTATTGCTAAGTATAGTGGGTGTAGTGCAAAGGTCAGTGAATTGCTAACACTGCTTCCTTTATAGTTTTAGAGCAGCATACCTAATCTAGTTATCCCCAATTAAAAATATATACTGTTTTTCCACCGAGGATGCTGCCTCACTCTTTGCTCACAATATCTTTTAGCCTAACTTTAAGAGAGCCAGAGATTAAAAAAAAAGTTGCATATAAATTAATGAAGAAAATACTACCATCACCCGAGCACCCAATTTATCAAACATAAGACAGCAGAAGCACATAGTAATGAGTCTAGTCCCTCATCTTTCTCTTCAGCCAGTTTCCTCCAATTACCTCCCATCTTCTTAATTCTCAGCTATTTAATTACCTCTTTTTGCCCCTTTCCTACACATCAGCTGTAAAGTTTTGTATATTTGTCTCAGGACTTAATTTTTCTACGTAAAAACTATTTTGCTCAAGCCCTGAGGCAGGCTTATTTCAGTGTACACTTTGCTACATCTTCTCCCCATTCTTCCATGGGCTTAAGAGATTACTAGTCCCTGCCATGCCTCTATAACTCTGTCCAGATCATTCATACTCATCTTTATTCACACTAGAGGTTAAACACTCAGCTATGCAATTAGACAAGGCCTAGGTCTTTAAACCTGAAGTAGGAACGGTTGACATTTTTTATTTAAAAAAAAAAATCTATTTTTGAAAGAAAAACATTTAAATACAAGTTATCATGAAAATAAAGCATTCTCCCCCCCTCCCCAGCCCCTCCTTTCAGGGTTTTAATTCCCTCTGGAGATTTCACTTCATCAGTTTTGGCAAGAAGGAAGGGGGAGAAAAAAAAAAAACAAAACAAAACAAAAGACCACCTACTCAGTCTTTCAGTTCTGCCACAGGCTGAACGCACTCTCTTCCCATGGAAGACGTTCAGGCTTCCAGCAGCCTCATGACACCCCAGCAGCTTCCACATCTCCAAATAGCAGTACTTTCTACACCACCAGCTGGTTTTGGCCTGTCTCTTCCCCTTCCAGCTGCAAGAAAAATGCTGAAGGGCCAGCAATAGAAAGAACATACCAGTGCCCAAACTGGCAGTAAGGCTTCAGTATCTTTCCCCAGCTAGCATCTTCAGAAACTAATGTCACATATGTAAAACCCACCTACTATTTTAGGACCCGCATCACTTATCCTCACACCTAGATGGCGAGTTGAAGGTCCCTTTTTTGCTTCAGTATGAAGCTCTGTTACCGAAAACTTTTTGAGGAAGTGGAAAGTTTTACTTCAGTATACCCCACCTACTGCCCCTAGATAGTCACATGCCATTTTGACCCTGCTACTCATAATAGTTTGCAGCTGCAGAAAGATGGCTCAGGCACCCATCACCCAGGCACCCTGGCACCCTGCTAGCCACACATTGAAAAAGGAGCCTTTTGAGAGACTATGTGAAGCTTGTATGGTGCTCAGCGAATAGGCTGCCTTTCTCCCACCCCATGCACCAACTATGACATTTGCTCAAATCACTCAAGCTTCTGCAATGAAGAGAAAGTCTCTAAGTTTCTCAGCTGCCCAAAAATGTCCCAAGCTGCTGCACACAGCTTGACATCAAAATGCTCAGCACTGAAGCTCAGCCTGAGGTCCCCAGAGATATGTATTTTATTTCTGCATTTCCAAAACACCTGTGGTTTTCAAACCTCCTATGTGACTACTTACTACTGCAGTGCTCCATTTCTGGAGGGAGGAGCTGTCAGTGTGGCTTATTTCATCATGATGCAGGATGTCGCTTAAAGCCATTGGCATTAAGAGTCAGACTAAATGAAAAGGAAAGCACAGTGCTGTTCATCATCACACATTTTTCTTCATTAGATCATTCAAATTTTAAAGAGAATTTAAACAAGAGAAATGCTCTTCCTAACAAGCAGGCAATAACATTTCATGTCTGTTTCCCAGTCACCTCTGGACGTTCCCAAACAATACAGTTTTCCCAAGTGAAGACAGTAGTTATTTTGCAATTCCACCCATTAGTATGCCCTTGTTACACTTCTGTCAGCTCTCATGGATCAGAGGCAGCTGACTCCAGTCCTGAGCTATGGCTCTTCAATGAAGTTAGAGAGAGGTATTTCAGACTCCTGAGGACGCCTTGACATTTTGAGGTTACTTTTCAGCCTATAGGTCTTTCAGAAAAGTCTGTTCCAAAAACCAAGGAAGAAAACACTCACCACATTTAGAAGCCACTGCTGACTCACAGCTTTGAGTACGAGCACCATGCTAAGAACTGGTACTTTTTCAGGCCTCAGTGTTAATAGCTAGCCCCACTGCTACTATTTTGGTAAACCAAACCCAAGCCACAACTGTGGGTTGCAGGGGCAGAGGGAGAGCAAAACTTGGAGGTCCCAGGGGACCTACCAAGACAAGAACTGAAGTGACTGTTCTATATACCAGGATATTTCTTAAGGCAGTTATTTGCAGTCCTCTCAGAACCATCTTGTTCATCACTGCTGCCAGTCTTCAGCAACTTTGGGTTTACACACTGAGGCAAGGGGAGGCCTGCAACAGCATGCAAATCAGGTGCAAAACTTAACTTTTTTTTGTTCCATATTTAAAAATATTATTAGAACTCCAATGCACTGGTTTTAATGTATTATCTTTAAAAATCATAACAGCCAAAG